CGGAGCCCGTGGAGGATTCGGAGCTCCCTCTGAAGACACAGGGTACCAGGCCCCTGTGGGCACAGGGGGGACACCCCTGCCAGCCCGGTGCCTCGCCCCACGGCACGGCACTCACGTGGGAGCAGGCCAGCAGCTCCTTCATGATGTAATGGTCGAAGATGTGGCGGCTCCGGGCGGCTCGTTCCTCCTCCGAGTCCAGCTTCTCGTACTTCTTGATCTGGAAAGGGCACAGCTCCCGTGGCACAGGGGCACACAGGACCTGGCACACTGGGAACCGCGGCCCCAACCCCTCTGGGTGCCACATCCTGCGGGCGCACGATGGTTCCCCCATCCCCTGTGTCCTGGCTCCCTGGGCACCGTCACCTCGGGTACTGCTCTTGGCACCGCGTCTGTGGGCCTGTAGGTACCAAAGCCCAGCCCACCCCTCCTCATGAACACAGGGGGCTGTCACGGGGGTGCCCCCATCTCACCTCCTCATAAAACTCCATCAGAGGCTTGGCCTCCTCGGCCTGGTTGAAGGCAAAGTCCCGGAAGAGCAGGTAGCCTGGCAGGGACAAAGCCACAGCATGAGAGATGCCAGCCCCACAGCCCACATCAAGGGACACAGGGACCATCCCCTGGCCTGCCTGGCCCTGCTAACACCCCCATGCCAGGCTTGGAGAAGGGAAGTGCCCAGCAGGGAGCGGTGAGGGTTTGGCAGGGTGACAGGGGGGACCGGGCTGGCACAGGGAGCAACGCTGTGGGGCAGGGCAGGGGGGCAGCGAGGGGGCTGAGTGGAGGGGGACACTGTGGCAGGGGCATGGGCGGGTACCACGGGCAGGCTGCCCTGGGGACGACGTGCCCGGAAACCGCCGGGGCCGGCAGGAGGAAGTGAGAGGCGCTTCCTGCCCGGGACGGTTAAGGCTGGCGTGGGGGGAAGCGACAGGGCGGGGGACGTGGGGTGGGGAACGTGGCGCAGCCCCCTGGCACCCCGTCCAGCCCGGCCCCACAGCCCCCCTGCTACCCCCCAGGGGGCAGGGGAATGGCCATGGCCACCATCACTGTCGTGGTGGCCACCAGCCCACTCCAGTGGGTGCTCCCCCAGGTGCCCCCCCACCTCCCCCCCACCCAGGGCCCTCAGCTCACCGATCTTCTGCGTGAAGATCTTGTCAAAGGTCACCTCTCCCCGGTCCTCCAGGTACTTCTGCATGACGCTGCGGATGCTGGGGAGACACCGCAGGGGCTCAGTGCCCCCTGGAAGACCCCGTGCCCACCGTGCTCCTCCTCTCCCACTCCTCCCATGTTCTGTGTCCCCATCCAAGTGTGACAAGTTGCTGGGCCCCTGTAAGGATCACAGGGTGTCCCACGCACTGGGGGTCCAAGGCAGGCTGGGGAGGAGGGTGTCCCCAGAAAGCTTCCTGGGTGCCTGGAAGTGAGGGCACCTGGGTCTGGAAGGGGGAGTGGGGACCCTGACCACACGTGTGCACCTGGGCACGGGTGTGAGTGTGTAAACAAACGTGTGCAAGGCGGCAGGAGGGCAGGGGGCTGCCGTGGGGGGGTCAGAGAGCATACACGTGACTGTATGTCCATGTCCGTGTGTCTCTGCGTTTGTGTCTGTCTGTCAGGCAGGATGAGTGTGTGTCCATGTCTGTCTCCATGTCCATGTGCTGGTGTCTGTCCGTGTGTCAGGCAGCACGTGTGTGTGTCCATGCCCGTGTGCCCGTGTCTGTGTGCCTGTGTCTGTACATCACGCAGGATGTGTCCATGTCTGTGTGTCTGTGTGTCCCTGTCCACGTCTGTGTGTCCCTGCCCGTGCGTGTCCGTGTGTCCGTGTCCGTGTGTCCGTGTGCCGGTGCCAGGGGCAGGACACGGTGCCGGAGCGCTCCCGGGCAGGTGTTCCCAGCGGGTGCTGCACACCCGTGTGCAATGTACCGGTGTCACACCCGTGTGTCCGTGTGCCGGTGTCACACCCGTGTGCGATGTACCGGTGTCACACCCGTGTGTCACTGTGCCGGTGTCACACCCGTGTGCGGGTGCCGGTGTCACACCCGTGTGCGGAGTGCCGGTGTCACACCCGTGTGTTTGGGGTGCCGGTGTCACACCCGTGTGCGGGTGCCGGTGTCACAGCCGTGTCCGTGTGCTGGTGTCACACCCGTGTGTCCGTGTGCCGGTGTCACACCCGTGTCCGTGTGCCGGTGTCACACCCGTGTTTGTGTGCGGGGGGGTGCCGGTGTCACACCCGTGTGTCAGGGTGCCGGTGTCACACCCGTGTGTCAGTGTGCCGGTGTCACACCCGTGTGTCCGTGTGCCGGTGTCACACCCGTGTCCGTGTGCCGGTGTCACACCTGTGTGCGGGGTGCCGGTGTCACACCCGTGTCCGTGTGCCGGTGTCACACCCGTGTCCGTGTGCCGGTGTCACACCCGTGTCCGTGTGCCGGTGTCACACCCGTGTGTCCGTGTGCCGGTGTCACACCCGTGTGCCGTGTGCCGGTGTCACACCCGTGTGTCACTGTGCCGGTGTCACACCCGTGTGTCCGTGTGCCGGTGTCACTCCCGTGTCCGTGTGCCGGTGTCACACCCGTGTCACTGTGCCGGTGTCACACCCGTGTCAGTGTGCCGGTGTCACACCCGTGTCCGTGTGCCGGTGTCACACCCGTGTGTCCGTGTGCCGGTGTCACACCCGTGTCCGTGTGCCGGTGTCACACCCGTGTCAGTGTGCCGGTGTCACACCCGTGTGTCAGTGTGCCGGTGTCACACCCGTGTGCGGGGTGCCGGTGTCACACCCGTGTGCGGGGTGCCGGTGTCACACCCGTGTGCGGGGTGCCGGTGTCACACCCGTGTCCGTGTGCCGGTGTCACACCCGTGTCAGTGTGCCGGTGTCACACCCGTGTCAGTGTGCCGGTGTCACACCCGTGCGGTGCCGGTGTCACACCCGTGCGGGGTGCCGGTGTCACACCCGGTGCGTGTGCGGGTGCCGGTGTCACACCCGTGTCCGTGCGGGTGCCGGTGTCACACCCGTGTGCGGTGCCGGTGTCACACCCGTGTCCGTGTGCCGGTGTCACACCCGTGTGCGGGGTGCCGGTGTCACACCCGTGTCAGTGTGCCGGTGTCACACCCGTGTTTGGGGTGCCGGTGTCACACCCGTGTCCGTGTGCCGGTGTCACACCCGTGTGCGGGGTGCCGGTGTCACACCCGTGTGTCACTGTGCCGGTGTCACACCCGTGTGCGTGTGCGGGGTGTCGGTGTCACACCCGTGTGCGGGGTGCCGGTGTCACACCCGTGTGCGTGTGCGGGGTGCCGGTGTCACAGCCGTGTGCGTGTGCGGGAATGCCCGTGTCACAGCCGTGTGCGGGGTGCCGGTGTCACACCCGTGTCCGTGTGCCGGTGTCACACCCGTGTGCGGGGTGCCGGTGTCACACCCGTGTCAGTGTGCCGGTGTCACACCCGTGTTTGGGGTGCCAGTGTCACACCCGTGTCCGTGTGCCGGTGTCACACCCGTGTGTCTGTGTGCCGGTGTCACACCCGTGTGTCCGTGTGCCGGTGTCACACCCGTGTGCGTGTGCGGGGTGTCGGTGTCACACCCGTGTGCGGGAGCGGCGCCGGGAGCGGTGCCGGGGCTGGGAGCGGCCGGCCGGCCGGAGGGGCAGCGGCGGGGCCTCACCTGGGCTCGGGCAGGACGATCCTCTTGCTGGCGCGGGCGGCGGGCGCGGCGCGGCTCTTCTCCATGGCCATCAGGTAGCTCACGTCGGCCAGCACCGCCTCCAGGTCCGCCATGGCCCCGCCGCGGCCCCGCCGTGCCGCCCGGCCCGCCCGCCGGCCCGGAACCGGAACCGCGCCCGGAAGCGGAACGGGGCCGGGCCGGGAGCGGCGGGGGCGCGGCCGGGCCGGGCTGGGCCGGCGGGACGCGGGACACGGGGCGGGCGGGAACGGGAGCGCCCGCAGCGGCCACGGGGACGGCCCGCACCGGGAACGGCGGGCGGGGCCTGCGCCGCCCCGCCCACACGGGAGGGGCCGCCACACCGGCGGCAGCGGGGGGGACACCGGGGGGGACAGCGACGTTACATGTGTGTGACACCGGGTGACACCGGGGGGGACAGCGACATTACATGTGTGTGACACCGGGGGGGACACCGACGTTACATGTGTGTGACACCGGGGGTGACACTGGGGGGGACACCAGTGTGTGACACTGGATGTGTGTGAGACACCGTGTGTGTGTGACATGTGTGTGTCACACTGGAGAGGGTGTGACATTGTGTGTGTGTGATACTGGGTGTGACAGCGGGGTGTGTGTGACACCGTGTGACACTGTGAGAGTGTGTGTGTGTGTGACATTATGGGTGTGTGACACAGGTGTGTGACACTGTGTATGTGTGACACTGTGTGTGTGTGTAACAGTGTGGGACACCGGGGGTGTCTGTGACACTGGGTGTGACACCAGGTGTGTGTGACACTGGGTGTGACACCGGGGTGTTGTGTAACTGTGTGTCAACAGGTGTGTGTGATAGTGGGTGTGACACCAGGGACACCTGTGTTACACCAGACGTGTCTCACTGTGTGACACTGGGCATGTGTGATACCAGGGGTGTGTGTGACACTGTGTGTGTGACACTGGCTCTCTCCCTGTGTGTGACACAGTGTGTGACACTGTGTGCGAGAGACCGTGTGAGTGACACTGGGTGGGTGTGTGACAGTGGGATCCCGCCGCGGGGATGCGGGCTGTGACACCCCTGCAGGCCGGGGGACACTAAATGTCACCCTGGTGGCCCAGGGATCTGCCAGGAAAGGGCAGAGAGCAAGGACTCGCACGGCCCTGGCAGGAGGGGATGGGACACAAGCACAGCTGCCACCACCCACCAGGATGGGGACAGAGGGATGGCTGCTACTGCCACCATAAGAGATGACAGGGGGGACAGAGGAGGTCCCAGCCTCGTCCCCTCCGCTTCCCTCACAGACAAACAACGGGCAGAGCCAACACTCAGGGATTTTAGTTCGTTGTTTTTTTTTTTTCTTTCACTTTTTTTATTCCAAAAATCCACCCCCAAGAAACAAAATATTTCCCTTGGGAGGCTGGGATCTTCCCTCCCCCCACAACAGCCTTGTGGTAATACGTTATGAACAAAGATCCTCTCTAGAAATCTCAGAGAAAAAAAAAAAAAAGGAAAAGTAAAAGGAAAGGCAAACTGAAAATGAACCAAAAGTAACTGCCAAGTAGGTGCCCTCCCTCTGCCCCAGCCAAGAACCCCAACCCCAACTGAGAGAGCGCAAGACTTGGTTTGCTTTTACCCTTAATGCTTACATTTAATTTTAAAGCACAAACATCAGAGATGGACTCTAAATCGCCAACAAAAAAATAGATATTTACAATATTTCTCCGGGGAGGGGAAGGGAGGGAAGGGGGGATCAAAACGAAACAAAAACCACAACCAAACCCTTAAACAAGTTAACTTTGCTTGCAGGAGTTGTCTTTAGGGAGCAGGCTGGGTTGGTTTTAAATCACTAAGTGATTTTATTATATATAATTCTCTTTTTTTCTTCCTTGTGGATTTGCACCACGCCGGGGTGGTGAGGAGGGTTGCACGCCGGCACCTCTGCGGGGCACAGCGGGAAGGGGGTGCTGTCCCCATGGAGGAGGGACCCCCAGAGGGAGGGAGCCCCTGGCCCCTCCAGCCACACCCACCCCCAGCTCTTTTTAAGTTTTCTTTCTTGTTGCAAAACTCAAAAATTAATCCAAAGGAAAAAGAAAAGCATTTAATTCTTCCAACGTCTTCCCTGGGAGCCACCGCCAAGAGAGGCCGAGGCCGAAGGCTCTTCCTCTCACCCAGGGGGGATTTCCTGCTCCGAGCCCTCCGGCAGTGAGGCCACACCATCCCTTGTCCCAGGCACTGTGGGATTGTCCCCTCCGATCCCCCTGTGGCAGCCAGGGACAGTCCCCACACCCGGGAAGGGGGTGGGCGGCCATCTCTCCTCTCTTATTGCTTCTGAAGCAGTGTGGGGGGGCTGCCCTCGGGAGGACCTCCCTGCGGGGCTGGGGACAGGTGGCACAGAGGGGACACCCCGGATTGTGCTATCTGTACGCTGCCAGGGAGAGAGCGGGGTGCTGACACGGGCTGGGGGGAGAGAGTTGGGGAGCGTCCGGGCACAGGCAGGACAGGGAGGGAAATAAAATAGTGACCCAGAAAAAGAAGATTCCAACTTTTTTCCTTTCTTTTTTTTTTCTTTCCTTTTTTTTTTTTGTTGTCTTTTTTTTTTGTTTTGTTTTCTTTTTTTGTTGTTTTTTTGTTGTTTTTTTTAAAGTGCAAAAAGCTCTCTGCTGCCCTAGAGAGAGGTTCTTTGGACCAACCATTCATTGCAAAGGAAAATCGGCAGCGAAAAGGGGGTGGGGGAAGGAGAGGACGATGCAGGGGGGTGGCCGTGCCAGTTCGGTCCCAGGCCATGGAAAAGCCCTCACCCCTCTGGCCCCAGAGTGCTTCACGGTGCCGGGAGCTGGGAGGAAGAGGAGGCAGCTCCTGTCCCCCCATGTGCTCCCTCACCCCTGGCTGATGCTTCCCGAGTCCTCCCTGAGCTCTGGTGTACCTGTGGGTTCTCCCCTGCTCCATCCCCTTGGACAGACGGCGCTCGGGGAAGGCGGATGCTGTCCCAGAGTGGAAGCGAGTTATCCCCCAGCCTCGCCTCCCCGGGCTCTCAAAGCCCCTGCTCCTGCTGACACCCCGGCCACAGGCTCCTGCCCTCGGCCCCAGAGAGCCGCCCGGGTGTGTGGGAGCGGCGGGAGGGGGATGTATCGCAGTCCCTGCAGCCGGAGGAGGGCAAGAGAAAGGGCGTGAGAGCGCTGGGCAAGCACCGAGCTGGCGGTGGCACAGAGGGGTGTGGGGTGTTCTGGCTCTGCTCCCGCTTCCTTGGAGAGACCTTGACCCTTAAGCTTTGTGCTACCGGGGAAGTGACAAGTGTTTCAAGGCAAGGAGACGACGGGGAGGAAGGGGAAAAGCTGGGGGAAGAGGGTGCCCCATTTCTCTGCACAGAGACCTCTGTTACAGGCTCCACCCCAAGAGCGGCCAGCCTCCGGGCTGAGGCTCCCTGCCATGTGCCCGTTCCTCCTCTGGTACTGGCCAGCCTGGCGGGACATCTTCCTCGGCAGAAGTCCCGGGGAAGGAGGAGGAGGAAGGACAGTGGAGCAGCGGCCCTGCCTGCCAAGTCAGGTGGGAGGCAGCGGCAGGACACGGAGGGCAAGGTGGGGAGGTGGAGCGGTTCTCCGAGAGGGGTGGGATGGGCTCTTTTCCTTCTCCTCAGTCTGCCCCGGGGAGGGTCTCTAGCTGATTTTTTGGATCAGCTTCTCATCGGACAGGCAGTAGAGGCTGTTGATGGACAGGTCCGAGATGAAGTGCTCACAGGCTTTGCGGGTGATCTGTTTGCAACCTCGCAGGTCGATTAGGGTGACGTTGGAGATGCGGCGCAGGTACAGCAAGGCCTGGTCCGTCAGCTTATTGCAGCCTGCAGGGAAAGGAGAGCCAGAGTGAGGGGGAACAGCTCCAGGAAGGCAGCACCGAGCTCCCGCGTGGGGCTGGGAGGAGGAAGGTGCCGCAGGACGGCTGGAGCAGCGCACCCACCTGCCATGTTGAGCTCGGTGAGGGAGTTGCGTGTGGAGGAGCCCACGGCGGTGAGGAGGTTGGCCGACTGGTCCGTGAGGTGGTTGCAGTGGCTGAGGTCGAGGCGGGACAGCAGGGGCATATGGCGGATGATCAGGCGCAGCGTGGCGTCGGTGATGTCCAGGCCGGCGAGCCGGAAGTCGATCATGTTGCGGAGTTTGCTGCGATTGTCCTGACCTGCGAAGGGAGAGGAGGAGCTGAGCGTGGACAAACTGCCCTGGTGCACTGGGGCACTCTGGATCCAGCATCACCTCCCTGCTCTGCACCCAGAACGTCACCCTTTTCCATCTCCCCACAACCCCCAGGGACCCTCCTGAGCGACCATCTCTCCAGCCCTGCCTGGGGGCAGCAGCTTACTGGGTTTGTCTGTTGGAGGCGTGAGTAAGTCCCGGATCTGAGGGTCCTTGATTCCTACTGCCCACCGAAGATCGAGGGTCCTGAGAAGGGGGCAGCTGGAGGTACTGAGAGCACAGACCGCAGACCAGGAACAGCCCGCTAGGATGAGGTCTTTCAGGCCTGGTAGGAGGGAGAGAGGTAACGAGTCAGACGGGTTTGGTCAGCTCTGAGGCATCCCAGATCCCAACTTTTTTCCAGGCACATGAGGAAACAGGTCCCCTCCCTGCCTGGGGTGGGACGTTCGCTGGGGGTGAGATCCAGGCACCCCAGGAGTTCCCAAGCTGGCAGGTACCAGGGTGCAGAGCATGTCTCACTGTGCTCCAGTCCTCGGGAAGCCTTGGAGCAGGCTGGTGGCAGAGGCAGAGACCCCTGCCCAGCCCATGCTCACCTGGCAGCCTGTTGACGAGCCACGTAAGCTGTTTTTTGGAGATGTTGGTCCAGCTGAGGTCGAGGCTGACCGGCTGCCTTTTGATGATGCCGCTCAGCGCCTGGGGGGTGATGGACTTGCACCTGCTCAAGTCTATCTTTGTCCACAATCTCTTGTCACAGCACCTGGGGACAAGGACAAGGCTGAAAGTTGAGCCCCATGGGATAAGGGACAGCCAGTGGGTTGCCTGGCTTCAGGGAGGAGCCCAGCCCTGGCATGGCCCCAGCCACAGAACAAGGCTCTCCTCCTGGTTTCCATAGGTCTCCCCAAACATGGGAGGTTGCTGAGGGTGTCTGGCCACCCAGGGCCACCCGGAGCACATTCAGCAGAGTTAGTTTTGCTACCACAAAACAAGACTCAGAGTCACAGCTGTTGATCAGCTTGTCCCCTCCAGGTGCTCCTCCTGCCAGGGCAAAGATTCTAAGGATCCTTGCTCCCAGCAGACAAAACACTCCTCCTGATCCCATCCCACAGCTTCAGCACCGCTCACTGCTTCGCTGGGAGCTGTGGCAGAGCCCAGAGGTGGCAAAAACTCCTCCTCTCCCATGTGGAGACCTGGACCTGATGGCAGCTCAGCTGAGCCCCTGACGGTACAGGCGAGGGGACAGTGTCCTCCAGCCATCACACCACACCCTTCCCACCAGCCACCGATCAAAGCAGGCCAGTCCTTTCCCATCATGCCATCCCTGCTGCTCGGCGGTTAGAAACCTCCCAGCTTCCATTCCCGTCTGTTCCCAAGCCCTCCACCATGCACAGCTGTCCCAGTGCCAGCATTGTCTTCGGGCCTGCTGCCCCTGAGGCACTTCCAGCCAGCAAACCATCCTGCCTCAGCCTGCCTTCCACACTTTCCCTGCCTGCTGGCAGCACAGGAGGCCAGAAAGGGCAAGGACCATCAGGGTAGTGGGTGAGGAAAGGACACTGGCACCTCACAAGGACGTGGTGGGGGACACAGATGCTCAGATCTCCTAGAGGGGACAGTAAGGACCAGTGCACACAGGTCCAAGGGCAATGCTGCCTGGCTCCAGGGAGCGAAGGGAGGGCACTGAGGTGAGATCCCTTCCCTCTGGCTGCCCACCAAGCACGTCCCCTCAGCCCCCCCACGTCCCCACACTCACCACTTGTACCAGGTCTTGCACACCCGCATGCACTCGCAGAGCTCCCTGCGGGTGAGGTAGCGGAAGACGGACATCCAGACCTCTCTCTGCATGCAGCTCTCCTCGTCCTCCTGCGCTCGGCCCCCACGGCCGTTCAGCCGGGCCGCCCCCCCCTCCTCCGCGTTCTCGTCCTCCTCCTCCTCTTCCTCGTCCTCCTCCTCGCCGGCCGCCTCCTCCTCGCCCCCGCTCCGCAGGGGCATCCTGGCGGGCGCGTGGCGCACGACCACGCGGGGCGAGTGCTGCAGGTTGGCGGAGGAGGCCGTGATGGCTTGGAGCTTGGGGACGATCGAGGTGCCGTGGACGTCTTTGGTGGGGCGCTGGAGCGTCACGGTGAGGTAGGAGCCGTGCAGCTTGGCCTTCTCCACCTCCGACAGCTCCTTCTTGCCGCTGGGGTTGTTCTCCTTCTCCCGCACCATGGTTCTCTCCGTGGCCTGCAGCCGCAGCAGCTGCCGCCGCTTGAAGCGCTCGTCCCGGCTGGCGCTGTGGTGGTCGCTGGGGCCGGCGCCGGGGGACGAGCGCGTCACCACGCCCCGCGGGGACGCCGGGTCGTGGATCAGCTGCAGCATCGGGGTGGGAGAGTTGGGCGGGGGAGTCAGGGGCTCCTCGCAGCTCCGCAGGGGCCGCAGCACCTTGGCTTGTGCCGTGTCGTCGTCGCTCTCCTCCACCTTCCGCTTCTGCGGGGAAGGGGGTTAGCAGGGACAGAGCTGTGGTGGGCCTGGGCAATGTTTTCCCTCTTTCCTCTTTCCCAGGGAAGCAACACAGTGCTGGCAGTGCCTGCACCAGCAGTGCCCAGTAGAATCATAGAATGGTTTGGGCTGGAAACAGCCTTAAAGTCATCTCGTTCCAAACCCCTACCATGGGCAGGGACACCTTCCACTAGCCCAGGTTGCTCCAAGCCCCATCTAATCTGGTCTTGAACACTTCGAGGGATGGGGCAGCCACAGCTTCTCTGGGCAACCTGTTCTAGTGCTTCTCCACCCTCTGAGCCAAGAATTTCTTCCTAACAGCTCATTTAAGTACCACCAGGACCAGAGCCCACCCACACCAGGAACCAATGTTCTCCTTCTGCCTTGACAAGAGGGATGTCCCCTGAGGTTGGAGATGGCTTCCATTACATGCCTAACAGCCCAGTGTGTGTTGCAGTGGAATCTCTCAGGATCACAGCTCAGCATCAGTGGGAGCAAAGGGTGCTCACCACAGTACCGGGGGACACACCCCTGTGGGATGCCAGGATAGGATTGTAGAAAGATGTGGGCAGGTCCCCAAGTGCTGCACCCCCCCACAATCCTCACTCTCACTGGTCACTGCCCAACTCATCCCTCCAGCCCACCCTGGCTGAACACATCCCTGGCAGGATGCAGTGGGATGGAGGACACACATTCTGCTCCTTACCTGGCCCTTCTCTGTGTCGTCACCCTGGTAGCATTTGGGGCACTCCCAGCAGTTGGGAAGCTCATCGTTGAGCAGCCCCTCCCCATCCATCTGCAAAGAAAAGGGGAGGGTCAGCAGCGGCCCTGCCCCTGAACCAAGCCCGCCCTGTGCCCAGCACCTGCCCTGCTCACCTGCAGACAGCCAGGGTGAACAATCTCATTGCAGATACAGCACTCCATGAGCTTCTTCTCAAAGTCCTGTGAATCCTCGTTCTGATCCACCTCACCACAAAGTGCACACGTGACCGAGTGAGGCAGCCTGGGCTACAAAGGAAAGCAGGGGTGAAACCAGGGCAAGATGGGACAACCTTCCCGCTTTCCTTCCCCACTACCCGAATCATGGGGAAGGGGCCAGCTATCCCCCAGCAATCAAACTAGGGTAATTGCCCTCCTCTGTCACAGAATCACAGAATTGTTAGGGTTGGAAGGGACCTCTGGAGAGCACTTAGTCCAAACCTCTCACCCAGAGTACGTGACACAGGTGGGTTTTGAATGTCTCCAGAGAGGGAGACCCCATGCCCTCCCTGGGCAGCTGTTTCACTGCTCTGCCACCTTCATGGGAAAGTTCTTCCTCACGTTGAGGTGAAACTTCTTGTGTTTTAGTTTATGGCCCTGACAGGCCACACAGAGCCACTGCCTGACTGTGGGAGGCTCTGAGGGGAAGGCCGAGGCCGCAGACTCACCGCTAAGCACTGCCGGAGGACGCAGGACTGCTTCATGCGGCCGGGCCCGCCGAACTTCTTCATGTCCCTGCAGTAGTGGCACATGCCACACTCGCCCTGCATGCAAGCCTTGCATTTTCGGCACCGCACCCGCCGCCGCCTGGCGCCCGACACGATGGGGGACACCGTGGGCCTGACGGGCGTCGGGCGCGGGGTCGGCTTCATGGTGTGCGGCTTGGTGATGGGGATGGTGGGCAGGCGCACCCGCAGCCGGGCCTGGAGCTTAGACTGGCAACAGAGAGAGACGGGAATGGGGTGAGAGGAGCAAAGCACTGCGTTCTGCTGAGGTCTGAAAGGCTCTGGTCCCTGGATCCAGCACTGTGACCTCGGATACTGTGCTGGAGAACAGCTCTGCTCCCTCAACGCTCTGCAGCCAGAGGAGTCTGGATTGGACACTCCATCACCTCACAGCAAGAGCTCCCCTTCCTCCTACCCCCCATCAGGACTCAATAATGGGTCTGAAAAGGGGTGCTGAGTCCCAAAAGCACCACGGTGTTCCAACAACATCCACTCTTTCCTTCTGAGGCAAGGAATGACAAGGTCCACCTGGGCTGTCCTCTCCATGTGCCACTCAGTGATTCTTGTGGGTCTCTTCCAACTCAGAATGCTCTGTAACTCCTGTCTGTAACCCTGGTCACCTGCCAGCTCTGCACAGGACAGGGCTCAGCTCCGGGCACTCCTTCCCAAGCTCAAGGCACACTGGGAACACCCACCCCCCTGTTAACAGTACAGGTGGGACAGCACAGCTCTTCAGCTGGCATTTGTCACCCTGTATCCCACCAGCCCTCACAGGAGATCTGCTGCTGGCTGCAGCATCCTTCTGGGATCAGCCCTGGTGGGGTGTCCACCACAGCTGAGGGGCTTGGGGAAGGGCAGGCTCCCAAAGGATGGGGTTGGGGATGTGCCAAGCATCTGAGTGCTGCACCCAAAGCATATAGATGTCCCCAGGTCTCTTCTCCCAAGAAAGCTGCCTGAGATGCTTGTGCTGCACAAGGACCAGCAAACCACACTGGATCTCCTTGGGCAGGGCAGGCAAGCAGAGACAGGCACCTCCAAAGGGCAATCCGAGAGGCCTGTTTGTCTCCAGACTCCCAAACGGAGCGTTACCCACCCCTCCCAGAGTGATGGGGTCCTGCTCTTCCCACAGCCTGCCTGTGAGCCCGTCTCCTGGCAGGAAGGAAGCAGTGACCTCGGGGAGCCAACCTGGCAGGCCACAGGAAGGCAGCCTGCAGAGGGGAAGTCCGGCTGCTCCATGCCTCCATCTGCCTGGCAAGCTCAGCGTGGGCTGTGGCCCAGCTATGGGCCCTGGGTTATGAGCACAGCTGGAGAGGGAAGGGCAGAGATGCATGGAAAGGTCCCACTGCTGAGGAGCTGGCTGCTATCTGCAGGGAGCTGCCTCCCTTGGGGCTGTAAGAGCCAAGACTACAGCAGAGTGTGCTAGCAGGGACAGGGACACAAGGGACACGTTCAGCTTGCAGGGAGGGGCTGGACTGATGCCGGCCTTCAAGCCCACCCCTCACATCACTACAACAGTGAGTCCCTCCCCAACACACAACACTCCTCAGACCACCCAGGACTGCCTTATCAAGCCAGAGCTGCTGGGAGAGGAGGATCACCCCTTCCTCCAACAGCCAGGCTCCATGTTCCCTGAGCAGGACCAAAGGGCTGGAGAACATGGAGCAGCTGATCCAGTTACCACCCGTCAGCTGAGCTGGGATAACCAGCATGGTGGGAGAACTCCATTCTGCCAGCAAATGGGTTTGCCCGCGGTGCTGTGGAGGTGGTTGCACCCTACATCCCACCTTGGCACTGCTCCAGAGGCGGGTATGGAAGCAGTGCCACCACACCCCAGTCCCGGGCAGCGACTCAGCCCCACGTGACACCCACCCAGGTCCCCTCCTTACAGCTCTTACCTTATCTCTCTTGGGCCACTGGACGATGGGGACGCCTGTAAGTGCCAGTTTTGGGTCGCTGTTTGCGTATTCTTCCAACAGCAGCTAACGGGGAGAGAGGAGTGGGGGAAAACACAGCAGAGAGACAAAAAGCACAGGTGTGAGCAGAGGGAAACACAGCTCCCGCCAGCGAGGCAGGCTCCGAGCAGATGCCAAGGCCAGCACACTTCAAAGGCGGCTGGGAAGGAGCCCTCCTCTCCCCACGCCCGCCAGCAACCATCCCTCCTCCCCACATGAGACAGACAAGCTCTGTCGAGTCGATCTGCACCAGCGCTTTCATCAACTGCATTTCAGCCCCGAGGCCCCGCACTGGGCGGTGGTAGGGGGAGAGCGCCAAGATTCGGCAGTCTAGGGGGATTTATGGGGGAGGATTCATCAGGATCGCCCCCCCCCCCATCTGCTCCCCCAGCACGGGGCAGCTGGAGGGTGCAGCAGCAGCAGGATGTGGTGCCCCAGCACCCCCTCCGTGGCCTGGCACAAGCTGCCGGGTAGCCGAGAGCTGCTCCCCCGCACTGCCTCGGGGTTTGGCTGTGACTTTGATGGAGAGATCCCTCGGCACCGACCGGACTGGCACGTTGCCCTATGGCGCGACAGCCCCTCGCTCCCGCCGGACCGGGGCTCCCACACTCACCCTGGTCCTTCCGGCCCCCGAGCCCCCCCAGCGCAGACCCCTCCCCACCGAATCTGCCCGTCGCAAAGGTGCTTTATTTACTTGACGTTGCCATGGCTACGCAGGCAGGAGCCTCCTGCCGGCATCCCGGCGGGCGGTGCTTCCCGCTGCCAGGCAAGGCCAGGGCAGGGGGTGCCCGGCGTGCCCCCCACCCGGTTTTTCCGGGTGTCTCAGGAGGCAGGAAGCCGCAGCCTCGCCGCGGCTGCCCGGCAGCGCAGCGTGCCGCCTCCAGACCTTCCGCCTCCCCGGGAGCACATGCCGCGAGGAAAGGTCAGGGCTGGGGGCTCGCACAGGGACATCCGCGTGGGCACCGAACCGCGCCGTCCCCCCTGCCCGGGCTCCGCGGGGGTGGAGGCGGCTCAGGCACGTTTCCAGACGGGGAGCCGAGGGGCTGGGAGGACTCTCGGGGTCCTGAGGCTGCATCTGGCTCGGAGCCGGGGTGGGCGAGAGCCCCCTCGTCCCCTGTGCCCCCTCGCAATGTGGCCGCGGGGACGCGGCCGAGGGGACCCTGCGAGCACCGCGGCCGGAGCGGCGATCGCGCTCCGGGGAAGGGGGAGGTGAGCCCAAGCACCAGCCAGAGACACCCCCAGGGAATCAGGGGTCCCCCCGCGATCCCCTCCCACCCTGCCTGGGACCGGAGCGTCCCCGCGTCCCCTCCCCACGAGCATTGCCAGCCGCCTGACCTTGCGCCTCTGGAGCTGCCGAGACTCCGGGGTGAAGTTTGCCGAGCCCTCTTTGTTTCGGTGCCCGCACTGCGAGGGCTGGGGCCCCCCACCCTCTCCCCGGACACCGCCGGGGGCTGGCTCAGACCCCGGCCGGACCCCCGGTGTTCGGGGACATGGCTGGGGGAGCAGCTGCGCCCCCCGCCCCGAGCGCCCTCGGCTCCCCCCGCCTCCGGCAGCCGCACCGGCGGCCGCGTGCTCCTCCCGAGCCCTCGGGCAGCGGCGGCGGCAGCTTCCTGAGCCGGAGACAATGCTGCTGCGTCACCCACATGCGGTTCCCAGCAATGCTTTGCAACGGGAAGATGGCAGAAGAAAAAGCGAGCGAGGGAGCGGAGGGCAGAGCCGCGCTGCTGCAGCGCCGGGAGGGGCCGGGACGGCGGGGATTGGCGCAGGGTCCGGGCGGTGCTGCCCACCGGCCTCCCCGGGCTCCCTCCCTCCGCCGCCGCAATCCGAGACGCGGGGGCCAGGCTCCCCGGGGCCGGGGACAGCGTGGCACAGAGCCCTCTCCCCGTCCCGCTCACGCCCAGCCGCCCCGGCGCTTTTCTTTTGTCTGCTCCGAGGCGGGTTTTGGATCTGGGAGACCCCAGTGGGGTAAGCGGGGCTTTGGAATGTAGGCGAGGGTGGTCCCCCTCGCAGTCCCCCACCAGGGACTGCACCCCTACCCTCCCGACCCGGCTGGATGAATCGTCCCTGGGAAACATCCCGCCAGCCAAGTTTGGGAGCAGCCGTATTCCCAAAGGCACACCGGGGACCAAACCACTAGAGGGGGACAGATCCATGCCGGGCGACCAAGGTGTCCCCACTCAGCCCCAGCTCCCCGAGACCCCCCCGCAGCTACACACTGCAATTAAAATGGAGGAAACTCCTGAAATAAAGCAAAATAGCGGCTGCTCCCACTCCTGATGTATCCAAAGCATCTGCAGGCAACTACAGCTTTGTGTTTCGAGGAAGCCAGTCACATGCCAACCTGGATCCAGACTGTCACCACCTGAACTGCCAGTGACACCCTAGGGCCCAGGGACCCACAGGCCCAAGTGCTGTGTGTGTGACCAGTGCTGCCATCCCACCTCCCAGAAAGGGAGACCTTCCTGGCACAGCTCACAGGCCACCCTCAACTTCTCATCCATCCATCCCTAAAGGATACAATCCCCATTCCTCACCAAGTCCTCCAGGTGTCCCATTGCCCAGCCAGGTACATGGGCAATGCCAGACCAGAGGCTTTGAGATGAGGTCCTGGAGACAGCATCAGCACTTCTGGGCAGGCTCTCCTTGTTTCTACAATCCTTGGTGCTCCAGTAGCTTCAAGGAAAGCCCAAATGTAATCCATTCATGCCAGGCCACAGGGCTCTGGCTTTAGTTGTCAGACCTGCTCTCAGCAGCCTTATGACCATCCTTCTCCTCTCAAGTCCAGTGGTGGAAACCAGCACAACCCAGAGGGGTCAGAAAGGATGGATGGGAGCAGTTGAAAGACAACAAGAGCTCTCAGAAATTCCCTCTTTGACAGTGATCCCTCCAACGACACCATGCTCAGGATTTTCAGACAATCCCTCCTGCCACAAAGCTGGAAGCACATCTTTGTCACATCCACAGTGCCATGTCCCACCATGTGATGCTCCAGGCTCAACTCATGACAGGATACATACTTTTCCACATGACCCAACATAGAGAGACCCCGAAATCGTGATCACCATACAAGAGGTCGTGGGACAAGGCAGCATTTTCCTGCTCCATGCCTGCTGCCCCGTGCCTGGGGACGCTGGATAGCAGCGGGTGGCAGGAAGCATGGCAGGAAATCTCATCTGAGGGGCAGATCAAAAGAAAACACCACATTCTGACCCTGGGGAGCACAGACCAAAGTGGGGTTTTTCCCAACAGTCCTTAGCCACATCCCAGGTCCATAAATGACCTGGTGCCACAAGGACAGGAACACCAGCTGCAGATCGATGGTCCCAGTTAAAAGATTTAGCTAGAAACATCTTAGCCTTTTTCAGGTTTTACAAGCCAGTCTGTACTGGCGAGTTCCATCACCTCTATGGAAAACAGAAGTTAGAAAAGTAGAGGTTTGCTGTGGTCTGACAAACTTGTCCCGCTTTCTCAGGCACCCTAGGGTTCCTTGAGGATGCCAGTCCCGAGGGACAGAATCCTTCTGAACCTTCAAGGACAGCCAGCTTTAAAGGAGTAAATCCTCAGGGAAACTGTCTGGGACCACAGGGATTGTCACCTGCAGCTCACAACTGGACACAGGGATGCAGGGGGGTGTCACACCAAAACCAGAGGCACAGATTCATTAGCTCCAAAACATTAACAAATTTCTTTGAACAGGTCTCAAACCCCAACACAACACCAACAACCTTGACCGCTCTGCCTTCAAAATGCCCAACACCAACCTCCTTTTCTCAGTCCAAGGGTGAGACATGGTGCTCACAGCTTGAGCTCCTTCAGAGCATCACAAAGGGGCTCAGAAACACATGTGTCACATACTCTAAGGTCACAGCACACACAGGACGCTTGAAAAGCCACAGGAAACCAGAAATGCAGCCTTTAACAGCACCAACACCACCACTCCTTCAGCCAGGACAGCCCACCCCGGGACCCCAGAGCTGGATGTCAGCTTTGATGCAGGCAAGCAGCTGAACAGGTCACCATCAGCAAGTAGGGGAGAAGGTGGTAACTGGTTTTAGGGACTAAAATGCACTTGTGGGGAATAAAGTGAGGCTGATGGTCTCACTTCAGTGCTGAAGGGGCTAAAACACCAAAGCTCATGGGGTCAGCTCAACAGGTCTGGTAGACAAAGGGAAATAAAACCTCAAACAACCCTCGCTGGCCTTAAAAAATTGACTCATGTAACGTCAGGTCACACCCTGGGCAAACAGTCCAAAGAAACAAGGCCAAATCCACCTGGGCAAGGACAGAGCTCCAACCATCAGAGTCCACAGGCAGAACATGAAGGGAACTGTATCACCAAGGAGCACTTTGCACTGACACCCACCAGGGCCCCAGCCAGGGCCCAGAGGGTCCACAGAGGGGTCTCAGCCATGCTGGCTGAGAGCAGTCACTGCTCCTGCTACCCTGACCCAAAATCCAAGGGTGTGACATCAGCCTCATGCAGAGGAAGAGGAGGACACGGAGCCTGCAGACACATCACCCCCTGCCCCAGGACAGGTCAGGGTCAAGCCTTTCCACTTCCAATACCACAATGAAGTGGACGCACCCCAGCACCCCATCCACCCAGTGGATGCATCCCCACCAGGAATGCCAGTCCCTGTGGCTGCTCGAGGCCTACCTTGACGTCAGCGATGAGGGCATCCTCGTCCTCGATGCCGGTGGGAACACACTTCTTGTGCAGAGGGAGCGACTCCAGCTTGTCCACGAGGCAGCGCAGCCCCTCCAGCTCGAACTGGGTCAGGTGCACCTTCCTGTTCTTGCGCGGGCTGCCCCCGCTGGGCTCCCAGGCCTGGCCGTTCTGGGAGCCCCGGCTGGAGTCGGAAGAGTCTATGGATGGGGTCTTCTTCAGACCCGGCAGGCTGCTCCGGCAGCTCCTGCCCAGTTCGTCATAGTCCACACTGGCACCGTTGGCGATGGGGCTGGTGAGGATGGACCTCCTTGTGACCGGCCGCCTGGGCTCCTTCCCTGCTGCGTCCTCCTCCTCGTCCTCCTCCTCCTCCTCTTCCATGTTCACCGAGTCCGAGGAGCTCAGCTCCATGTCTGTCATGATGGAGAAAGAGTGAGAGCACAGGATTCAGCTTCTAGAGGAATCCCCCCAGCCACAGTGGATAAATATGGGGACAAGGCAAGGGGAAAGGAGGGGACACCTAGCAGCTGGAAAAGAACAGCTAAAACTCCTTCCCATTCCTGGCTTGTTTTGTGGGAATGCAAGGCACCAAATATGGAAAAACATCCCAGAGGAAAAGACAGCAACACCCTAGACTGAATTTCATGGAGTCCTAGAATAGTTTGGGAAGGGACCTGTACAGGTCATCTTGTCTAACCCCTCTGCCGTGGGTTCAGGCATTTTCCACTACATCAGCTTGCTCAAAGCCCTGACCAATCTCATTTTGCTTCAGAGGGCTTGGGATCTCCAGCCACTTGGTCCTGTGAGTGACTCAGGACCTTGATCCTACCTTCATGACAGGAAAAAGAGGATGTGGACTCACTCATGACTGTGAGGTCTCTGAACCCTTGCAAGTAACTTTGACAGAACTTGAAATCCTGCATGTAGCAGGCCCTGATCAGCCAGAGACCATTCCTGCCCCAGAGCCCACAGCACTGTGGTGGTCACTGCAACTTCCCTCCACCTCTAGTGTGACAGGCTTTGTGTGTCCCAACAAGGCCAGGAACTGGTGTGCTGGTTTTGCAGCTCTGAGGAACCTGGGCTGTCACAGGGGTGAAGGAGGAAGCAGAAGTCTGGCTGGTTTTGGCTTCTTCCTCAAAGGAACACCCAGCTTACCACACTGCTGAGCCAGTACCCCAGCAGGAAGATGTAAGGAACCAGTTTGATAGGGGTGAGGAAGGAATAAGGGCCGGGCTTACCCATACTGAGCGATTCCTTCTGGAAGTCCTTGGTGAGGTGTGAGCGGCTGGTGATGCAGTACACGTAACGCTCCAGCACGTACCAACACATCTCGTAATAGAAGGGGTAACGAAACTTATTTGGGACCTGCAAAACAAGGCAAGAGGGTCTGCTCAGGCCTCCTTCACCACCACTGCACTCACAGTTCTATTACTGCTGCCTCAAAGCAGAGCGATCCCCTCTGGAGACAGGAAACCCGTGTCCAGGTGGAACAGCATCATTCCTGCTTCTGGCGGCCTGATGGGATTTTCCTTGTAAAAGGCTGTTATCAACAGGCAGGGCACAGACCCGGCATCACTCACCTGCCAGGCCATTAATATTTCATTTTTCTTTGTCAAAGTTGCAGCTCTTCCCACATAGACCTTCTAACATGAGTACCAGAGGAAGTGAGAGACGCCACACCAGGTTTGGCTGAGTGTCCAACACAGCCCAGGTGTGTCCTGAAGCTTCTCTGCAGGAGCTGAGCACTGCAGGACCCACATCTCCCCAAGCAACAAGCAAGAACATCCATGTACCTGCCTGTTTCCCCCCACCCCTGGTGCTCCTGGCTCTCCCACAGGCCCTTACCCGCGTGCGGTCTTCAATGCTGTAGATCCGAAGCTGCATAGGGATGTTGAAGCTGTGTAAGAAGTTGCCCCCAAAAACCAGCGTGTCCATGGGGGTGTACACAGCATGGATCCAACCTTGGAGAGAAAGGAGAGTTGGAAGAATCCTTTCTGAGCAACAAGGTGATGTCAAAGTCTCACAGTTTCCAGTCCTTTTCCATCTCTGAGGAACTCTGTTCTTCTGAGCACGGCTGCCAAATCTGCACCACCTTCACATCACTCGGGTAAGCCCACCCTGACAGCTGCACCTTTCACCTGTTAGCTTCAAGCACAAGACTGGCTACTGACCCCTTGTCACATCAGCCAGGTCAAAAAGCAGCTGGGGGCTACAATGGGACCAATCAGACCCCAACTCATACAACACCGAGCTCATGTGGCCCCCTTCCATAGCTTTTTGTCATCCTGGTGTCATTCTATAGTGTTTCCTAATTGTGTTAGACCTAAGAACATCAGCACCAATGAAAACAGCCTACCAAAATCTGTTCCAACAATTAAAACACCCTCAGAGTAACTCAGGTTCCCGCTCTGTTATCTCCAAGGCTAAGCAATCCAGCCAAGTCCAACATTTGGGGAATTCCAGCACGGGTTTCCTTAAGGCAAAGCCACTTAGTTCAAAAGAAGCGTCACTTGTGATAACAGGACTCCAATAAGTAAGCTGTGCAATCCCTGCTGTTTTCTGTTCCTGGCCCTGCTGAAAGCTACAACTCTGCAGAGGTATCATGAGACACTCAGGAAGCTGAGGAGCCTGGATTACCTTGGGCCAGCCTGTCCTCAGCCTGCACTGTTCTGGGTGTCAAACCCACAGGATCTGGAAGAGCCTCCTTTGATAGTTAATCAAGTGTGACATGAGCCAGCCATGGCCTTCCTGTCACCTGGGCTGAACCCACAATGCCATAACAGGCCTGTTTTGGGAGGTGGGAAGCAAGAGGACAGAGCCATGCTGCATCTCCCCCTCCCAATCACCCATGAGGAAGCTAAATCCTGCCTGTGTCCAAGAGTTTCAGTGTCTCACCACAATCCTGGACGCTGCCAGGATGCCCCTGCCCACCCTGTGGTACCTGAGGGGATGACAAAGGTGTAGCCCTGCTTGAGCTCGATGCGCTGGCACTCTGACACTCTGTCCCCAAGGAAAATGTCTCCCTGCTTCCCTGAGAGAAGCCAGTTTTCATAGAGCTCCAGGTTCTGGGGTGTAGGAGGGATCAGCCAGAAGATCTGCAAATAAAGACAACACACATATGTAGGTCCCCTTATATTAAACAGTTACTGACTATCCTCTGTTTCTTTCCAACACCTGAATCTCTTCCTCTCCCCTCTCTCAGAGAAATTCCCACTAAAATGACCTCAAGAGATGCCCCTCTAAAGAGGTCAAGCAGCTGAGAAAGGTCTTTCCCAATCTGACACACTGGGCACCACAGGTAGCTTGAGCTTGGGATGTTTTTTAAGTATCTACATCAGAGTCAAGAGATGCAGAGCCCAGGAAAGACACCGGAGTGCTAAAGACAAGGGGATATTTACCTGAGTATTTCTGCCACGTTAGAGCTACAACTGAACGAGAGATTGGCGCCTGTTTGCCTCCAGGTAACACAAGTTTAGGGTGGAAAGACCTCAATTTGCTGTCTGGGATCAGCATCCTCAAGGATTAACAAGAGAACAGACTACATCCACTGTCCTAAAGCACCCGTAGTTGTTCCAACAGGGAGTGTCCTACCTTTCCCCCTCGGTGGATGTGGTACCACACAGAAGTGCCACCAAAGTCCACATGGAAATCTGTGTAGCAGCCCTTGACACTCATCAGACAGTACCTGGTGGAAAAGAAGGTGACAGTAAGTGGAAAATGAGCGGTGATCCATGTTTTGGAGCAGATATAACACATTCAAAGGGAATGGGCCCCCTAAACCCAGGCCAATGGTTCACAGCAGTGCCAGAAGCCTCATGATTCCCCTCCTTCCACACAGCCAACGGGGGCTTAAATAACTGACTGCAGTGTCCTTACAAGTGTCACCCGCAAAATAAACAGGGAGACTGTTCCTCCTGCTTCCCCCAGTACAAACTACTGCTCTCTTGGGCAGTTCTCTTCAAAGGGAGGCTCTGCTGGCTGCCACAGCTCAGGAAGTCACTTACTTCTGCACCTTGGGATACTGCATCTCCAGGATAGCATTTGTAGACTCTGTCTGACTCTCCTTCAGGTGTCTGGGCCACATATTATCAACCCAGTCAATCAAATCCACCTATGGCAGAAAGGTGGGAGATGTGAGCAGAGAGAAAAGGGGCACAGCAAACCCTTTTGCTAACCCCACGTGGCAACCCCCCCTTTTGTTCCATTCCCAGTGTAACCTTCCCAGTGCCACTGGGGCAATACCACACGTGAAGAACTTAGGATCAGATGTTCTGATGCCAGCACCAGACTCACACAGAAAACATGCAGGGCAGCATCTCCTAGGGTGGGATTCAACTCCCTAAGCTTCAGGAGAGCCAGAGATGTCCAAGCTCCCTCTGCAGTTTAGAGGGAGAAGTGAATGGCCCTACACAGCTACCCCTTCCCCTCCACCAACTGCAGAGGGAGTTCAGGATGTCCATCCCACCTTCCACTCTTCAGTAAGAGCAACTCATTTTCCCACCAAACAGCTTCCTGCCCCTCTTCCAGCACACCTCCAATCCTGGTCTCATCTGCCCTCAGAGACTTCAGCACTTGGCACCAGAAACCCTCCCTTCTACACTGCACAACCCTCTGGAGCTCCACTCCCATGTTTCCAATTGCTGGCAGGTAAGGAACAGGTCACCTCTCTACAGAGTAACATGCAAGGGACTTGGTCATGGTCAACAGTCTGACTGGGAGATCAGCTCCAGCAGCTTCCAGAGCACACACTGATATTATCCCTGCTGAGCCCATGCATGTTCTGAGCAGCCCCAAGAGGACGAGGGAAGGGAGATCCCTGGGGAAGGAAGAGCCACGCTCACCGTGGCAGGTCTCTGCACCAGGTTCTCCAGTTTGGTGTGGCTGAACTCCAGGCTGATGACGTTGTAGAGCTTCTCCCTCTCCTCCTCCGGCGTCTCGTAGTACCGCGCCCACTGCGCCATGGACATCTCGATGTCCCGCTGCGTGTTCACGTCCATCACATCCACCATCCGCCGGCTCCCTGCCACCACACACACACGTCACTGCACAGTGCACCACCCACAACACTCCAGGAGATGAGATCCTCAGAGAACCCACCCACACAAGCGTGCTGCCTTGGCGTCTCCCAGAACTTCCACACCCACACGCAAACAGAAGCTGCTTTAGGTCAAATTAGATCCAAGAAGGTGATCCCCGGGTAAGGACAGCTCACGTTCAACCAGCTGCACTCTGGGGAGCCACCAGACCTCAGCTTAAACCCAAAGAGTCTCCCCATTCCCCCCTAGCTGCAGGCAGTGACACTCACCGACACACAGCCGCACATCGTTCACGCTGAAGTCCGGATCCGGCATCCTGCAGGACAAACACCCTGCTCAGAAACCATCATGTGCTCCTGGCACAGACCCTCCCCACCTGTAACCCAAGTGTTACACCCTGAGGGTGCTGCTTTGGGCTGTGTGCAGACCACGGCATTAGATCTGGGGTGAAACATCAGGACAAACTTCTGGCTCGGGAAGCAGATCTGGGAATAGGATGTACCATCTCCACAGCACAAGCTGCTGTACAGTGACTTCTGGCAGAGGAGCTCAGCAATCCCAGGCCTCGCTCTAAAGGCTGCTCGTGTGAGTTATCCCAACCCAAAGGCATAGCCAGGCCAGCACACGCAGTATATTCCACTGACACAGCAGAACCCCTCCAACTGTTTGTACTGGCACACTTCTCTGTACAAACACTGCTGTCACAGGCAGAGCAGCCTGGCAGCCATTCGAGCAGCTCTTGACCCAGAGAAATACCCAAAAGCTCAGGAGAAATCCAGTTTCAGCCACACTCTAATCCTCAGTATCAAATCTCTGCCCTCCCAAGTCACCCAGCAGTTAAAACTGAGCCTGGCACAATTTCCCACCTAATTCACCCCCAGTACAGAACATCCTGCACTGGATGAGATGTCACCCACCCATTCAGCCAGCTGGGGGAGGTTCAGAGCAGTGCTGCTGATACTGGCTCAGAGAGTTTGTGAGGGATCATTTATTCTCTAATCATTGTATTAATCAACTCCCAAAAAAACACTGACCCAGCTTTACACTCAAAGCTGTAAATCTCAATGAATGTACTGCAGCAAGAGAGACACAGAGCAGTTTAGAAGTTGGATAAAGCAGGCTGGAATTCTGGAAAATGCCAGAAATACTACAAATTGTTTGAGTCTCTGGCAATAGATGCCTATGTTACTAGGAAAGAAACCCAGCCAGACGTTGCATCAGATCAGCAGTGGGACTTTCCAGACATTTGGTGGAATTCTGATCACCTACAGCCAATTCAGTACTCTGATTTTCAGTCCAAACAGACTAATAAGAGTGGGATAACTGAGGTGGAAGATATTTGTCTCTGCTCACTGCATGTAAAGGACAGTGTGGACAGGACACAGTCATGCCAACTTGGCAGAGCCAGGATCAGATCCCACACAATGTGGAGAAATGAAGGAATTGGGCCAGTCCCCCACCACTCTGTGCCCCAACACTTACTTTATCCCCAGGCCGTCCGAGCTCCTGAAGATGAGAGGGTCCCTCAGGCCACCCCGCTGGATGTACTCAACTGTGAAATCTGGTGTGGGGAGACAAGAGGAGGGAAGGTTTAGGGAGGCTCCTTCAGAGGATACACTGACATTAAAGGATGTCTGGAGATCTCTAGTCCAACCCTGCTCCCAGTAAACTGACTTCTGACTCAGATCAGGTCATTCAGGGCAGTTGAGACCTGAGAACCTCCTCCTATCTCTGTGGTCAGCAAAAAAACCCCTTGTTCCTCACTTTTTTACACTCCTTTGGAGATCCTGGAACTCCTTTGCAGCAGCTCTGGGAGCAACATGGCATGTGGTGTTGACAAGCCTCAGATAGGCCCCCCCCCCGGGAACTGGAAGTTTGCAGGGAAAACAGTCTGAATTTTTGTCCTCAGTTTCCTAGAAAGCTCACAGTCAAGCAAGAGATGCCTTGAAGAAGTGCTCCTCCCTCCAGGAAACCCTCCCAAGGTCGTGTGATGAAAAGCCATCCCACTGAGCTGCGTGTGTGGTGAAAGGAAGGGGAGAGATCCCACACAGTCCTTGAATGAAACATCTCGCAGACATGTGGCTGCAATTACAGGTGCTGACCCAGGAGAGCCCTTCCACTCCTGGCTTCCACGTGTCCCAGCCGACCTGCACCGCTGCACACCAGCTCCCTGCTCTCGGGATCAAACAGCTGCCACGCCATTTCCCCACACACACCGCCTGGCACCAGCCCTGCTTACTGACTGCCAGCCCCCAGACAAACCTTTGCCTTCCATGAACACCACGAAGGTGGAGTTGAACTTGTTGGTGGACAGTTTTTCCTCGAGGTCAAACGTCCTCTTCCCTTCGATTTCGTCGTCGGAGATGCCATCGTCCTCGTAACGCCGCCTCATGGTGCCACGCTGCAGGGAGAACACACCTCGGGAGTGAGGGAAGAGTTACGGACCAGGAGGAACAGCCAGAGCCTCACCCCAACCCAGCACAGCTCAGCCAGGGCTGCTGGGGGAGCCCAGCTCTGTCCTGCACCCGAAACACACCACTGAAACAGCAGATTTGCTCCTCCTGCACCCAGATTTGTGCAAGCTGGGCTATATGGGAGAGAGAGGATCACTCCTGATGAATTCTAGCACAGAAATACAGGAGGAGGGGAGAGAGCTCAGCATAACTAAGGCAAAGAAAAAAAGAATCAGTCCCTCTTTTTTACAGGTGCATCAGTATTTTGCTGCACTAGAGGTAAAGACGCTTTGTGAATTTAAATGTCTGCCAGAACGCCAAGTGATAAAGGAAGGGTTTATATTGGAGACAAAATTCTCAAGTGGTCATCTTTGGCCAGGCCTGTACACAAAAGGTGATTTATTCCCTTGTTTGTGTGGGGAGGAGTAGCAGAGGGGAAGGAACCCTTTTCTTACAGGGTCTCCTAAGTCCATCTGTGTGGGGATTCCTGACAGACATCCTCTTCTGGCATTGCTGGATCTGGAAAAAATTACTGTCCCCAGCTGTTGGCCACCTGGTCAGGGAGCAGCCATTGCTCTGGCAGAGCCCTGCGTGGGAATGCTCCCCAAATCCCCCCAGATAAAAGGCAACCTGCTCTGAATTAGCCAAGCTAATTTAATTCCCCCAATTAGGGATGCTCCATATCAAGCGTGCACACCAACTGTTGGGCCAGGAGAGAGCAAGGATGGGACAGGAGGTGACACAGCTGCTGTCACATCTGTGGCAGTGTCACAGCCTCAGTAACACCACTGGAACCAGCCAGGGACCACGACAAAGAAAAGGACTCCCTCGTACACAAGCACTGCCTTAAGGAAATTCTTACAATTTAATTAGTTTAACAGTGCAGGAGCATCTAGGGCCATTACAAAAAGGGTTTTGCCCCCACCCACTATAACATTTTAATTTTAGTTTTAAGCGGCCATTAAGGCAGAGCCATTTATCTGTTGTTAACACCTCGTTGACTGCACTCAGCTTTCCAACCCCCTTCCCAAAAACTTGAACGACAGGGGCACAAACAGCTTATCTGCCAGGCTTCTGCTGAATGGGGTATACTTCAGGAAGAACCTGAAACAAGGGTCTGTCCCCCTCAGAGCCTGAATGGCTCTGAGGATTAAAACAATCTAGAAAAGGGCTGGGTTTGCTGTCCTTTGTCTTAAGCCATCCACTAAAGATGGAGAGCAAATGGGAGTACTTTCTTTTCCAGTTTTCAATAATACAAAGATAAAACTCTCTTTAATTACCGCTTTTTAGAAAGACACTTGTATAAACGCAGAAAAATGCATTTAAAAAAACCCCAACAAACAAATGGAGGTGGCACCAGCAGAGCTGACCTATTCCTGGGGAACACTTGGAATTTCACACTGGGCTGTGCACACAAAAAACTGGAATTCCCAAATGCCCACTCTGCTTCTAAACTGAGGCTGGCTCTTCAAAGGATATGCATCAGAGCATGAAGCTAGAGATGTAGAAGTTTCATGGCTGTGTTGTATCAGGGGATGAGTCCACCTTACAAAGCACTTTTCCTCAGAAATCACAGAATCTGTTAATCCTGAGGTGCTCAGCTTTAAAATGAGGACACAGAGCAGATGAGAATCCCCTTCCAGCAGGACTAGCTCTTCTTTTTTCCCAATCCCAGGCAAGCCTGGGACTACAGGTCCCAGCAGGCACCTCCCTGTCACTAATTAGAGGCTGTGCACAAAGAAGCAGAGGATTCTGGGCCCTGTAGTCTCACCTGCTTTGGGATCAGGTGGGGGTGGCTCACTGCAGAACCAGGTTGCTCCTTTATCCCACACACTCACTTTTAGGGGGAAAAGCAGCTCTTCTGCCTTCACTGGGTACAAAACCTCACGAGGGGGGGGAAAAGGTTTGGCATGGAATTCTGGCAAAAAGGGACTATATCCAAATGAGTCCCTTAATAACTTATATTTGGCTCCCAGGCTGGAAATCTGGATGGTATTTCAGGGCTCCTGGTTAAGTGTAGCTTAAGTAGGAGCAAGGTTACATTGGGCTAAAACTCAGGTAAGTCCCACTTGAGCACATGTCTCAGGAAACCTGGGCTGGAACACAGCTCCAGGCACAGACACAACGACCAGGCATTGTCTGTCCTTCTGGAAGTGGCACCAAGCCAGCACAGGCTCTGGACTGTGCAGAGCAGCTAATTCAACAGCAGTGTGACCATGTGGCTGGGCCTGATCCCAATCCCACTGGTGTCACAGGCATATGCTGGAGATGCCATGAAAAGGAGCTCCTGCTCCCTTCCCATCTCCCCACTCCAGCTTTAGCACCCAGTCACTCCAGTTTGGCATTTGGACCACAAGATCACTCTGTCTTGGCTAATCCTGAGCACAAACTTTGAGGACAGATCCCGCTCCCACCTTCTGTGAAGGTGCAGTAAATGACCTGGTCCCTCACTAACAAATCTGGAGGCTTTATGACCAAACTAACACGATGTGTCTCAGAGGAGGCCACTCCACCAGACCAACCTGCTGTGGACTCACATTACAACGAAACTACACTTCACTCCAGCTGGATCCACCCATGGATCTGCACTGTGGGATCAGGGAACCATTCAGACTCTTTTCCCAGACCTCAGCACAGCCTCCAAGACAAACAGGTTGGAACCTTCAACCCAAACCACTACGATAAGGCAACCACACCGAAAGTGCAAACACCAGAAAACAGGCAGGAACACCTTAAACTCCAACTCCTTTGCAATGGGGAAACAGGGATGCAAAACGCAGAAGGACGGGGATTGTCTCCTCCAGCCCAGTAAATTCCAAAGTCTATTGCTCTTGTCATCAGCAAAGCATCAGCCACAAAACTCCCTCAGCTCTGCCTGTTCCCGTGGGCAGGGAAGAGTTTGGCCTCCTAATTGGCACAGCATGTAGGAGAGCAGGATCCCAGCCGTGGCTGAGGACCCAAAAGCACAATACAAACAGCTCCCATCCCATCCTACCCGGCCGGGGCCACAGCGCTTTCATGTCATTGTTGTCTTGGAAGGGTGGGGAAAAACAACATTTCAGGGCCTGCAGAGCAGGCAGGAGGAAGGAAAGGCTTCTGTGCTTCCAAGAGTGCTTTTTGGGGGAAGCAGTATCTGCAATTTTCCCCTCCTGGAGTCTACAGCTCCCTCACAGCACAACTACACAAACCATGATCCCCCAGCTGCCCAAATTGTGTCTCTGTATGAGGATGGATGTGGTCAGTGGATGCTCCAAGATCCCCTTTCCTCCCTGATGTGTTTTGATCCTCCCCTGACACGCAGGGAATTGCTGCCTGGTTAAATAACTGGTACAGGTGACACCTGCAAAGCCACGACAGGTTAATGCCCATCTCACCTTCCCCCTGCACACACTCAGCTGTGCAAATCCTTCTGGCAGCACTGAGTTTGACCTCTTCCCAGGAAGGGCCAGCTACCTTTGCCTCACAGCCTTTGCCAGGGATGGGGCTTGGCTGAGTACCCCTTCCTAGCAGATTCCTACAGCCCTCCTAATTCTTCTTCCTGCTCCTTGGAGCAAAAGCCCATCCAGGTAGGTCTCACCAGAGAACACAAGCAACTCCCAGCCCTGGGCTCTTAGAATAAGACCACTTCTTCCTGGGGGTGGCTCTGCTACTGGGAGCTTTTCCAGTGTCAACCAGTTTAGCCAGGGATGCACAACTTCCAAAAAGAAGATCAGCAGACACCCCCAAAACTGCCCTCTCTAAAAGTGTCCCAGGTGAAGTTCAGCTCCAGTGAAGCAAGAGATCGAGTCAGGCCCATTACATACATCAGTGTTCAGCAGCAATATTTAAATATCCCTTTTTTTCCAGCTTTCTGTCAGGATTCAGGCATTTTTCACCCTGCTGAGAGTTTTTCACCCTTCCTGTTACTAAGGAAGAACTTACAAGTGGTCCAAACCCTTTCTCCCTGTGTCAGGCAGGGTCAAGATAAAGACAGTTTATTCATCCTCCGAGACTGAGCAGCCAGCAATTCCCATCTAAGACAGCTGTCCTTCCCCATTCCTTCCTGGCCCTCTTGAGTGCCACTCAATTAATGTAGGAAATAGGGAGCATGAATATTAATCCTGCAGACAGCTACTCCTTCTATTCTGATCCTTTCACCTGCAGTCTCCTTCTCCCAAGGAAAGTGTCTCATGTAGCTCCACAGTGGTACTCTTCAAAACACTTCCTTGGAAACCTCTTTCCATGGAGCACAGCTCTCTCTAACAGCAAAGGAACAGACATCAGTTGAAGAGAGCCAGAAAACCTCTCTCCTGTGGATTTTTTTTTTTTTTTTGAGGGAAGAACGAGTCCAAGGTCACATTTGAAAAAAAGAACAAGCCGTCCTTTCGCCGAAAGAGCCTCGTGTATTTACAGAGTGAAACCAACACACACCACAGTATTTTAGTCACTTCCTGTCCTGTCTGCTGCCATCCCCTCCCTCATCTCCCAACGACTCCAGGAACCTCCTCCTGCTGGGTCACAGCTCCTTCTCCTGCTTCAGGAGACCTGAGCACTCTCATTTTTCCTCTCCCTACGCCTGTTGTCTTTCCAGAGCAGCTTCCCTGGCGTGAAGCCTCCCACAACTCTCCCTCATTCCTTTAGAGAAAAGATGTTGACATGAAGAACGCAGTCAAGTTTTATCCCCATTTCCAAAATCCCTCCTTCCAGGTATTAACTTCCACCTGGCTTCCAGTATATGTACAGAACAGTGTGATTCACCACCTTTTCCTCGCCCCACCCCTTTGTAGGTTTACTTTGCCCAAAATGCATCCAAATTGGTAATAATTTGCACCAAATTGGTAATAAACCAACAATAAATAAATAAATCAACTCTCCTTAGTTTAGGAATTTAACTTCTCCCCTATTTTTACAGCAAACAACTGTGGCTCTTGCCCAGATAAATCCAGACCATCCACATCCAAACCCGTGG